GCTTCCTTAAATTACTTGAGCAGAATTGAGGCATCAAACACTGAAAATTGAGTGAATTTCTGTATCTAAAATCATGGCTGAAGAAGATATATATACGAAAGATGGGACGACAGATTATCGTAATAAACCTGCAATCAAACGGGAAACTGGGACCTGGAAAGCATGTCCTTACATCCTTGGTATCTCTTCTTCATTTCGTAGATGAAATGTTTTAACATCTCTCGATTTTGTTGTTTTTTCGCTTTATGTTTCCAATATTGTTTGGTTGAATAGGAAATGAATGTTGTGAGAGGTTGGCATATTATGGGATCAACACAAATCTGGTAAATTATCTCAAATTTCAAATGAACAAGAACAATGTTGTGGCAGTTACTAACGTTACGAATTGGTCTGGTACGTGCTATGTCACACCTCTGCTGGGAGCCTTTCTAGCCGATGCCTATATGGGACGATATTGGACAATTGCAACCTTCTCAATCATTTATGTCTTCGTAAGTCTAAGTTTATCCCAAGATTTGATCCTCATTTGAATAAACTAGTGTTTGATTCATGCTTTTTACCCTTTATGGTATACTGAATATAAGTCAATAACTTCTCAGTCTACTGAGTCTAATTTGATACAGGGGATGACATTGTTGACATTATCGGCATCAGTCCATGGACTCAAACCATTTTGTGATGAGAAAAATGTGTGCCATCCAACAGGCATTCAAACTGGATTTTTCTACCTTGGGCTTTACCTAATCGCCCTAGGTACCGGGGGAATCAAGCCGTGTGTTTCTTCCTTCGGTGCAGATCAATTCGATGATTCTGACGAGGCCGAAAAGAAGAACAAAAGTTCTTTCTTCAACTGGTTTTATTTCTCAATCAATATAGGTGCCCTTGTTGCTTCTACTGTTCTTGTATGGATACAAACAAATGTAGGGTGGGGGTGGGGTTTTGGTATCCCAGCTGTGGCCATGGCAGTTGCTGTGGTCAGTTTTTTCTTGGGTACACGCCTTTATCGCAACCAGAGGCCCGGAGGGAGCCCCTTAACTCGAATAGGCCAAGTGCTAGTTGCATCCTTCAGAAAAATTGGAGTACAAGTGCCTCAGAATAAGTCTCTTCTCTATGAGACTGCAGATGAAAAATCAGCTGTTCAAGGAAGTAGAAAACTTGATCACACAAAACAGTTCGGGTAACATTCTCTAATGGTGAATAGTTGATTGATCTCTAGAAAAATAAAAGTAACGCTCTTTTTTATGTTTCTCAATCAGTTTCTTTGACAAGGCTGCTGTGGAGACACAATCAGATCGTGTCAAGGGCTCGATTGACGCCTGGAGACTCTGCACCGTCACTCAAGTCGAAGAACTTAAATCAATTATACGTTTGCTTCCCATATGGGCTACTGGGATTATTTTTAGCGCTGTGTATAGCCAAATGGGCACATTATTCGTTCTACAAGGCAACACGATGGATCTTCATATGGGAAAATCATTCAAAATCCCATCGGCTTCTCTATCCCTATTCGACACAATCAGTGTCATTTTTTGGGTTCCTGTCTATGATC